TCACTTCATGGTTCTATCTATCTATCTATCTATCTATCTATCTATCTATCTATCTATCTATATATATATATATATGGGTGGTTGTCAAAATTATGGTCCCTTTTGGGTCCTTATTATAATACGGCACCTACTATTCAGGGTACCCCAAAAGGGACCCTAATTTTGACAACTACCCGCGTGAGTTTCGAGGCTCCCTTGCTGCTGGAGTTAGAAGCCGCTGACGGCGCGCTGTCCATGTTCCAGGTGCCGCCCTACCCTGTACCTCTGAGTCCAATCACCCACGTTCTGATTTCTTGGGTTTAGGGTTTAGGGGTTTGCCTTAACATCGCGGAGTTCTGATTTCTTAGGGGGTTTACCTTAAAATTGCGGAGTGGTGCACGGGGTTTCGGGCTAATTACGGGTAAGCATGAGAAGTTTTCTTTAAGAACCCTGGACAGAGTGAGAAACCCACCGATTGAGATTCTTTCTTGGATCCTGCAGCCAGGATTTCGTGTTTGGGACTGGTGACTTATGGTTTAAGGTTTAGGGTTCAGGGTTCAGGGTTTAGGGTTTAGATATCGGGATTTCGAGACTCGAGGCAACGGCATCAACTAAAACGGCCTCTAGAACCTTCCATGGACACTAGCACACATAGTAGCGGTGATAGAAATTGCAAGATCCTTCCTTTCCGGGCCCCGGTAAAGAAGGTGTCCCGAATCCGGACCCCCGTAAAAAGGTGTCCCTAATTCTGCAACCGATACAAGGCGGAATTCGGCAGACTTAGCACTCTAAGTTCCTATTATACCTATAGTCTCCACTGTAGTTCCTTTATGGGGTTACCTTATAGGATCCTTAATATAAAAATGGCTAAACCAAAAAAAGGAACTACGATGGAGACTATAGGTAATATACCACAAAGCCCGACTCCCATTAATCGAGGACATTTTCAGGTGGGTAGTTACCCTTATAGGAGCATTATAGAAGGTCTATATACCTTATAGAAGCCTTATAGAAGCCCTATATACCCTAAACTACCCACCTGTAGTTTCCTTTAACCCCTNNAAGGAACCCTAAAACCCTAAACCCCTTTTAAAGGAACCCTAAGCTCCCCACCTGTAGTTTCCTTTAAATCAAGACCGGGCTTGCCAACTTTAAAGAGCCAGGCCAACTCCTACTTCCACACAAGCAGCTGCCCGTCGATGCCTGATGACTGGTGGCAGGCACAACTTGGTTTAGGGTTTAGGGTTTAGCGACTGCCCGCACATCTTACACCTAAATCCGGATCCCTGAACCATAAAACCTCAACGCGGCTCTCTAAACTGAAAGCCCGAAACATATACGTAAACTCGTACTCCCTATAACCCGACGCCCAAAAACATCTTAGAATTCCCTCAACGGTTGCATGGCGACGGGCGGCTTCTAGAAGCTTTATGGTTAGTTCTCTAAAGGGTTTAGGGTTTAGGGTTAAGGTCCCTTTTCTAGGTCCCCGAACTAGTACGGCACCCTTCTAAAAAGGCCCTCAAAAGGGACCCCAATATGGGAAAGACCCTTGTGTTGGGGATTCGGGTTCGGGCATGGTCTGCGTAGTTAGATTGATTTGTTTTATAAGTTTAAGGTTTAGTTTTGTAGGGTTTAGGGGTGAAGGGTTTTGGATTGAATTGTTTAGTCAGTTTAGGGTTTAGTTTTTTTGGGTTTAGGGGTTTAGGGTTTAGGGTTCATAAGTTATCATGTACTTATGGGGCTTTGGGTTGGGCAGATTAGGACTTTGGGTTTTAGGGCTGAGGGAACTGATGGGATAAAGCGGTATAGGATGTTTCGATATACGTCTACGATAGAAACGCTCATCAACCTTGGTGGTACTGCTTGCTCTCTCACGCGGCGCATGACGGCCTTTGGCCGTGGAAGAGCGACATCAACAATTAGATTTGGTTCAGGTGAATTTTGTAATGTTGAGTATAGCGAAAAATTCCAACTGTAAGGAACTGCATTCCAGTTTCTTTTCATGTGTCACGAAATGCGGGAAATACACGGAAAGAGAGCCCCTGAGTCTTTGAACTCCAAAAACCATGCGCTTTGCACGGCTGTTTTAATTGTAATGACAGCCCAGACAGGAACCACTAAACCCGAAGCCCTAAACTCTGTTACTGAAGGGGTTTCAGGGTTTAGGGTTCTTGTCCTATCTTCGCCTTCACAGTACGTTCAGTCCTGGCTTTCGATTTCAGAACCTGGGCCCATGGCGCAGCATATCGGGTTAGCATGGCGGCATGGGTCCTAAGTCAGGATTTAGGGTTGTTTAGAGTTTAAGGATGTTTGGGGTTTAGGGGTTTGTCGTAAGTACCCGGGCTCCTTTCTTTGCTTTCGAGCAAGAGTATGCCCAAACGCCCTTTTACTTGTTAGGCCCTCTTTTTTCGCAAGCTCAGGGTTTGGTCTAAACCCTAAACCCGGTTTTGAGACACGAAGGAGGTACCATGCCACAGACAGGTTCAGGGTAGCCGGGCTCCTGGGCTTAACCCTACAGGGAACCCCAAGAAGTTGGAACATGGGTTTAGGATTAAGGGTTCAGGATGATGAATGCTAGGACGCCTTATACTTTTCCGCAAGGGCATGAGGATCATATTGTTCCAGTTTTATGGCCTGTACTATAGACTTATAAGATATCTTAGAGGTCGGAATAGTCATCGACAGCACCCCCCTGATGGTTTCTACATAAGAAGATGCTGTCAGACAAACCCCATTCTAGTTTCAAAGGTCCCTAAAAGTAAGCACGACAGCCTCCAAACCTGGTCTGAACAATGGGCGTTAGGATGCGCACCGAACCCCACAACCCACAGTCGCGATTCAGGACATGCAATCAACCACAGGTGCCCATATCAAGTCCTACCTCCTCAGATGAATGGCTACATGTAGCTATGCGAAGGCTTAGACATGCCATCTTTCAGCCCCTGGGCCCTACACCTTGAGCTTGAAGCTTAACTGCCGTAGACCTTCCTGCTCCAGAAATACTCTACACTGTGTCTTAGTATAGCCCCGAGCTTTAACTTCAGGACGTCTATCCACAACCTGCTCTGATTCATGAGTCATGGCCCATATCAAACTAAGCCTGATACAAAAACCTTTTCAGAACACGAAATAAAAAGGCTTTCAGAGAAGAAAGCGTCCTGAAGCCGAAACCATAAACGCCAAGAGGGACTAGCCAAAGCAATGAAACTGCCTATGCAACCCTTCGTAGGAAACCCTGCTGGGGCTACCCCTGCCCTAAACCGTAAACCCCCAAACTTCCCACGACCCTGAACCCTAAGCCAAACCCGCAGCCCCTAAGCCCCGGAACCTGAAGAGAGCTCTTTGAAGGGCCCAAAGTTCACCACTACAGCCCCCTTCAAGGGCCCCTAAATTCGCGACCCAAAGCCAAGAACCCTAACTAAACCCTGAACCCTGCACACTAAACCCTAAACCCTAAATCCTAATTCCTAAACCCTAAACCCTAAACCCAAGTTCTGCTGCCAGGTCGCGCAGGAAGCCTTCGGCTTCTGGCTGGTCATTGCCCCTTCGAAGTAAGGCTTCATCCCCGTTTAGGGTGGAGGGTTTAGGGTTTAAGGTTTAGCGTTTATGGTGGAGGGTTTAGGGTTCAGGGTTTAGGGTTTATGGTTGAGGGTTTTAGGGTTCAGGGTTTAGAGTTTATGGTTGAGGGTTTAGGGTTCAGGGTTCAGGGTTCAGGGTTTAGGGTTGAGGGTTAGTTATCTAAATTAGGGTCCCTTTTAGGGTCCTTTTGTTTTCAAAATCAGAGTGCCGTATACTATATTGGGGGCCCGAAAAGGGACCATCATTTGGAGAACTACCCATTTGTTTTGAGGGGGCTTTGGGTTTAGGAAGTTTAGGGGTTTAGTTAGGTTTCATGGGGCTTTTGGGGTGGTGGTTTATTCGGTTCTACAAAGGTTCTAGGAGGCTTCTATGAGGTGTCTCTGCGGTTTCTATTGGGGTCGTGGAACGCCCTAAATCCTACATCTAGGACATTTCAGGTGGGTAGCTACCATTATAGGAGCTTTATAGAAGGTCTATATACCTGAGAGAAGCCTTATAGAAGCCCTGAACACCCTAAACTCCCACCTGTAGCTTCCTGTAACTAAACCCGTTCTACAAGCGGGGTATGTCTGCTCGGAGGGTGTTTAGAGCTTTAGGGGTTGGCGTTGACGGGTTGAGGGTTCAAGGTTTCAAAAGTTTGGGGCTTTAGCTCTTACAGGCGCTGCAGGGCTTTAGGATTTAAGAGCCCTAAACCCCAAACCCTAAACCCGGTTTTGCAGCCTGCATGTCACCGTTATAAGCCCTGTAAGCCTATAAGCATCCCTGAACTTGCAAGGGCCGAAGCCCCACCCCCTCCAACCCCAAAAGGCCCTAAACCCCTCAACCCCTAAACCCTAAGCCCTCAACCCCGAAACCCAAAACCCCGAAACGCTAAGGCCCGAAACCCTAAACCCTTAACCCCGAAACCCTAAGGCCCGGAAACCCGAAACCCTAAGGCCCGAAACCCCGAAACCCTGAGGCCCTAAACGGCGACTTGGAAACCGAGGCCTGTACACTTGGCGCCGGTGGTGCCATGGGTGCATGCATTGGCCCTTTGAGAAAGCGCTGTGCCTCGGGATACATGACAGGTTTAGGGTTTAGGGTTTAGGGTTTAGGGGGTTTAGGGTTTGGGGGTTTGGGGTTTAGGGACATAGCCTCTGACTCTGTGCAAAGAAGACTACAAAAGGGGTCTAGAAGGTTGTAGAGGGTTTGGGTTCTACCCCTAAGCCCCTAAACCTGGTGTAGGGTTTCGATGGGTTTGGGGCGTATGGCTTCAGGGTTCCGGGCTTCAGGACCTACGAATTCAGGTGAAGCTTCCTTTAATTTACCTTAAACCCAAAACCCTATACCCTAAACCTTAAACCCCAATTCTTGCAGCTTCCATCCCCCCCACCCCCCCCAAGGACAACCAGGCTCTCCTTCTCGGGCTTGGAGGATCTTACTTACGAAGATGATTGCGGTCCCTCCAGAATAGAGCGCAAGATATAACTTCGGGTGATTGTAGGGTTTTTTGAGACCTTCAAGCCTTAAAGCACTAAATCCTAAAGCCCTAAACCCTAAACCCAGCTAAACCTTAAATCCCTAAACCCTAGACCCTTAATCCATAAACCCTAAAACAACCCTAAACCCTTAAACCTTAAACCCTAAACCCCTAAACCCTAAACCACTGAACCCTGTCCCCAGGTGCTCGGAGACAGTTCGACCAAATGGCCCTCGCTCAAGGGTCCGAGCCAGTGGTCGGCAAGCCTTGCCACCTGACAGCCGGAGGGTTTAGGGGTCCTTTAAAGGGCCTCTTGAAGGGATCTATAGGGTTTAGGGGTCCTTTCAAGGCTTTAGGGCTTTAGAGGTTTAGGGGTGTAGGATTTAGGGCTTAGGGGTTGAGGAGTTTAGCGGTTTAGGGGTTTAGGCTGTACGGGTTTAGGGTTTAAGGGTTTAGGGTTCAGGGGTTTAGGAATTGCAGAGGGTTTAGGGGTTTAAGGGATTTTTCAAACACTTCAGGGGCTTATACCGGGACGAGGGCTGCTGGGCTTTCGGGTCCTTGAAGGCTCGCGGGTTCAGGGGTGTAATACCGGGGCAACAATAAAATTAGCCATACTGTTTTTGGGAGCTTCCTCACTAGAGTTATAGTATAATATACCCCCCCAAACCAGACTCTAAGAATTTAGGTCTTTAGATTAAGGTGGTTTCTACATGGTTAGGGAGGCAGGATGAGGCGACAGATATGCAGACAGAGCCATCACCCGCATGCCGGTGTGGATTTGCGAATACCAGAACAGATACATGCCTGCATACATGTACATGCACATAGACATGCGCGTTTATCCATGCATGCGTACATACACATGTGCATACATCTGTACATATATACAAATACATAAACCGTGCAATGGCAGGCATTGCATTACATTACAGTACATGCAACTCTCAATACGCGGAAACTTGTTATGGTGGTAATGCCTGTGCCAATCACTGGAGTGCGTTTCACCATTTCCCTGATCTTGCTATGCCTTTTGTCCCGTATGAAACCGAGGTACGTTGCTTGGTCGAACCAATGCCGGGATTGTGCAAGGACAGCCGCATGAGGCCAGCATGCATCTTTAAAGCCTACACCGTAAAACCTTAAACCCTAAAACCTTAAACCCTAAACCCTAAACCGTAAGCCCTTAAACCCTTAAACCCTTCCTATGCGTGGTAGCACGTGTACAGGGCGTGGGCTCCAAGAAGACGCGCTCCTCTCCTGGCCCGGATCTCCGACCATCAATCACACACTTAGGGTTTAGGGTTTAGGATGTCTTGTAAGGATTCAGGGTTTAGGGTTTCTTATAAGGGTTTAGGGTTTAGGGCAAACCCGAGCCCAGCCCAACCCTCGCAAACCCCATGCCGGGATCTTTGCCGGTAAATCCAAACCTCGACCCCTGACCCCTTCACCGTCAACCCTAAACCCTAATAAGAAACCCTAAGCCCTATAAACCCTAGATCCTCAACCCTGTTTTAGAAACCCTAAACCCGAAATCCTTATAAGACACCTAAACTCTAAACCCCTTTCAGCCCCAAACCCCGTGGAAGTCCTGAAAGCCAAGCCTTCACAACCCAGACTTAAGTCCTACCTCAACCCTAAGAAGCCCTTCATTCGTAGGGCTTAGGGCTTAGGGGTTTTCAGGGTTTAGGGTTTAGGGGCTTCCCTACGATGATTTCCTGATAAAACTCCAAAAGACGTAAGGAAATTGGGGGGGCGGGTAAAGTAGAACTCGGACCCTAGCCTACGTGTTTTTGAATTACATCTAACCCTAGGCTTCCAGGGACCTTATTATTGGGTCCTTAAGGGGTCTAGGGCCCTGACTATAAGGTCCTTGGAAGCCCAGCGTAAGATTTTTAAAATCGTGAACGGTGAAGTTTGGTTTAGGGTTTGTAGTTTAGGGTTTGGTTTAGGGAAGTCTCAAGCCTCACACCTGGCAGACCCATAAATCCGCTACCTCAAAGCGCTGCACTTCAATAGAACGCCGATGGAGCCTTTGCAAGAGTATACAGCAAGACTCTGTTCGAATAACTGGGTGGTTGTCAAATTTATTTGGGTCCTTATTATAATACGGCACCTATTATTTAGGGTACCCCAAAAGGGACAATAATTTTGACCACTACCCAAGTAAGGCCCTAAACCCTTGTGTCAGGCCCAGAAGGAGACCGTGAAGGGCAGTAGCCCACCTACTGGCCAGGAGAGCGTGTGGCTTTGGCCCAGAGGATTTAGTGGGTTTGGGGTTTAGGGTTTATGGGGTTTGGGGTGTGTACTTGGAGGTTCATGGGTAGTTATAAGTGGGGGTTATAAGCAGGGTAACTATAGCTACAACCAATATTAGGAGACCTAAAACCCCACTTATAACTACTGTACCCATGAACCTCCAAGTAGGGTTTGGGGCTCAGGGGTTAGGGTGTATGGTTCAGGTTCTACATGGGTTTGGTAGGATTCTGTCCTATTGCGGCTTCATTTAAGGGGTCTAAAGCTTCCTATGAAGGTTGTTCATCCGACCAGGTTCTCTTGGTCAGGGTTCTGCAGGGGTTTTCGGCCATAAGCTTTAACCCTAAAACCTCTAAACCCTCAGGCTCTAAACCCTAACACCGTCAAAACCTAAACCACTAAACCCCTAAACCCCTAAACCCTGAACCCTGAGCCCGAAAACCCAAACCCTAAAACCATCAAAACCAAAACCCTAAACCCTGAACCCAAAACCCTCTAAACCCTAAAACCATCAAAACCTAAACCCTAAACCCTGAACCCAAAACCCTAAACCCTAAAAACATCAAAATCTAAACCCTAAACCCTAAACCCGGAACCCAAAACCCCAAACCCTAAAACCATCAAAACCCAAGCCCTAAACCCTGAACCCTAAACCCTAAAACCATCAAAAACCAAAACCCTGGACCCTGAACCCCAAACCCTAAACCCTAAAACCCATCAAAAGCTAAACCCTGAACCCTGAACCCCAAACCCTAAACCCTAAACTCTAAACCCTAAACCCTAATCCCTTCCCCCTAATATTAAAAAGGGGGGGCCCCCCCCCAATAGATATTCAAAATATATTTTTATAATTAGGGGGTATTCTTATCGCTACTGCCAGATTTGGGTAATTAGACTAGTCATTCAAACCCAGGCATTTGAGACGATTCCTAAACCTCTTCAGAAATCCACGATTTCTAGTATCGCTGCTTGTACAAAGATTCAATTTGGGCCCATGACAGATTTTTGGACATTTGGG